TTTGGGAGGCCGAGGCGGGTGGATCACGAGGTCAGGAGATCGAGACCATCCTGGCTAACACGGTGAAACCCCGTCTGTACTAAAAAACAAAAACTCAGCTGGGCATGGTGGTGCATGCCTGTAGTCCAAGCTATTCAGGAGGCTGAGGCATGAGAATCACTTGAACCTGAGAGGCAGAGGTTGCAGTGAGCTAAGATCGCACCACTGCACTCCAGCCTGGGAGGCAGAGCAAGACTCTGTCAAAAAAGAAAAAAAAAAAGACTTTCCCAAAACTTATTCCACTCCCTAGATCCCAGGATGTATTGCTTATTTGGCTTAATTTCTGATAGATGACTTCGTGGGTCTAAGGAAAAAGCAATAGGATTGGGGCTGGAGCTGGCTCCAATGTTACACTGGGAGTATCTTTATCAAGGGGCAGTGTGATGCAGGGATGTGTAAATGGGTTGGAATAAGCTTCAGCTTATTAACATAGCCTGCAAACAAGAGCAGTGGCTTTACCTTTCCTGGTGGCAGGCTTCCCGTCCATTTAGCTTCTGTGGGAAATGGTACCACGCTTTGTGGTGGAGTTTCCCTGTGCCCTGAATCTCTTTTACTACAACAGTCTTTTATCTATGGAGAGAACATAATCCAAAACATAATACACAAATAATTTCCCCTTGTTAATGTTGCCTCCTCTTAGCATCAGTAAAAGTTTTGACCCAACACTGCTCCATAACTTACATTTTATAGGGCACCACTGGTATGCTTTTGGTTACAGGATTGTTAAAAGGAAATCTGGCTATAAGTTCCAGCTGTGTGACCTAGAGTTAGTCATTTAAATTCTCTAATCATTCATTTCCTCATCTGTTCAATGAAGATAAGGCTCCTTTCTGAGTGCAGCTGGAAGAATTAAATGAAAAATTGCATGTACTTTATTAAACCACACAGAAGCATGCAAAGGTGAGGAGTAGTATTGCTTGTAGCAGACCATAAGACAGGACAATTAAACTAAGCTCAAGAGTGAAGGAGTAAGGTTCCAGAACGGTCTTTCCTTTCATTCTGATGGTGTTTCTCTCCCCTCTGTACCACCAGAACAATGTTCCATGCGCCTTCGAACATGAAGGATGGCATTACATAACACTAATATGTATTACAATTAAAGGTTTAAAATGTTTATTCTCATATTTGCTCCACACAATGTGGACACTTGATTGGACTGACAGTCTTCATGTCACCTAGAAAATTATAATGAACAGGGACTTCTTACTATAATTGTGAATAAATCCAGCTATTGTGACAGGCAAAGAGAATTCACGGCTCTAAATATGGACATGTTTAATTTCATATTTGAACACTAATCAAACTATCTTTGGGGATACATACATTTTTTTTATTTTAGGAAAAATCCATATCCTAAAAATATCGTCAATTTTCCATTCATTCCTAAATTGAAGCTTCTATGACTTTACTTTTTAAATTTTTTTAAATCCTTGAAGACATCTGAAGCTTCTATGACTTTAAAAACACATGTATCGGCTGGGTGCAGTGGCTCACACCTGTAATCCCAGTACTTTGGGAGACTGAGGTGGGTGGATCACTTGCGGTGAGGTGTTCGAGACCAGCCTGGTCAACATGGTGAAACCCCATCTCTACTAAAAATACTAAAATTAGCTGGGTGTGGTGGCACATGCCTGCAGTCCCAGCTACTAAGGAGGCTGAGGCAGCATAATTTCTTGAACCCAAGAGGCAAAGGTTGCAGTGAGCCAAGATCGTGCCACTGCACTACAGCCTGAGGGACAGAGCAGGACTCCGTCTCAAAACAAACAAACAAAAAACACATGTATCAAACCTATATTTTATCATTCAAGGCTTTGCACTGCTTTTGCACACAAAACTTAAAAGACTTGTCCATACCTTTAAAGATATTCATAATCTGTGACCTTAGGCTGAAGGATTATAAGGAAAGGCATAGATGAAAAATTTTGTCCAAAAATATCCTTTGTAGTATTACTCATCACCGCATAATGTTAGAGATAAATTAACCTAATAATGAGAGTCTGGCAAGTCAATTTGATAGATTATTGTGATGGAAGCTATTTTAAAATGTTTTCAACAATATTGAATTACATTAGAAAAATGCTAGTACTCTAGTGTACAAAGCAGGGTGCGCTATGCATGTCCACATACAGGAATAGAAACTGATTCACACAAGTGCCGGTGATGACTATTTCTGGGTTACAAAACAGGATGGTCACTTCATTCTTTGTGATTTTCTATATTTACCAAGTGATTTTGTAAATAATTAGTAGATACTCATTTTATATTCAGAAGTAGCTAAATGTGTTTAAAAGAACAATAATTGGACTTCATCAGCATGGCAAGTATAGTTTTCTGCTTTCCAAGTATCTCTAGAATTCTGAGAATAATGTCTCTCCATCTAAATTTTGAATTTTGGGTGTTTGGGTTTTTGTTGTTGTTGTTATTGTTTTGTACAATGGACCCAAATGGAGACCCAATTGCTAGTAAGATCAGGTCAGCACCAGGATAGATACTGGTTGTTGCTTTGCTTTAGAAAGCCTCCAAGTCTTGCTAACATCTGGACATCAGGAGTTCAGCTCATTGCTCTACACTCGGATCCTAGCTGAAGTCACCTGTGGTCAAACCCAGAGTTTGGATCATTTTCTATTTGATTTCACTTTTTATGCAAGATCCCATGGCTTAGCTGAAGGCAACTCTTTAAATGTACATGCAGCTGCAATTACTTACACTCCACTTAAAGCTTTCCCACCAACTTCTCCAATCTTATAAACACTGAAAGCTGAAAGAGACTCAGAGATCCTCTGGCCCAACTGTTCATTTTATTGATAAGAAAATTTGTGTACAGAAAATTTAAAAAGTTGCCTGAAACCACATGTTGCACAGAGCCAGCACCAGATCCCCTAATGCCCAGACTGCTGTTTGTTCTACCTATTAATACAACTTCCCCTTCATTTTCATAATATTTTAAGCACAAGCTTAAAACTCAATGGGATAGCTCCATTTTGAGGTATTATACAGGAGAATTTGTACATTTTAAATCAAGTTCCAGTCATTTATTCTAGAAGGAAATTTGATGATGAAAAATCCCTTTAAGTTGATCTTTGAGTATTAAACATAAACACAACAAAACTACTTCTCCTTGCTCTTTATGTTACTGGAATTGTATCACAAACCCATCACTTCAGTTTTTCTTCCCATTCTCTGCTGCTGTCTAATGAGAAAGGATGAAAAGCCCACTTAAGTTTTATGGTTTCAAATGTTACTTTGATTTTGTATCAATAGGTAATTTCAATTTCAATTCTTCATTTCCTATTTTCCTTTGCATGAGACAAATGCAGAAATCAGGCTAACATGCCAAACCATTCTAAACTGAGGTATTTCATAGTAATGGGAAATATTTTTCCAGAATAAGCACAGAAGCTAATAAAATTATGGAGCCTGGACACTGGCATGGTTGATATGTAGTTAGAGACAGTGGAATAATTATTAGCCTATTTGCAAACAATTGAGAACATGTAACAGTGTCAGAACCCTACCCTTTAAGGAGCTATACCTCTAAAAAAATAATTGTGATTTCTAGTGCCAAAGTTGTAAGTAGACACAGAAAAATGAATTGAAATTAAGTTAAAGGAAAATGTTATATTAAAAAAATTACTTGACACAGTATAGATTGAATTTGAGAAAAAAAATCAATAATGTACATATTATGGTATACGCATAAGTGAAAAAACAGGTTTTCCCCTTTTTTTAAGTCTAGAACTCATGATTTTATTATAACGGTTGTTAGATGGCTCTTAGATTCTCCTAATATTCAGCCTGTCTTGCATCATCTCTGTTAGCCCAGAGTCCTAGTTTACTCAGAATAAATGTTACACCTAGATCAAAGAGCATGAACCTGCAGTTGGGAGGATATTCAAGGACTGAATTCTGCTCTGCCATTCCCAGATTGAGTAAACCAGGTAAAGTTTCATAAACTCTCAGGACTTTCACTGTTTTATGGGAAGAATTGGGATAATGTTACTTCACTGGGCAGTTTGGAGTGAAAACAAAGCTATGAGACATGCCTCGTAAATTGCAAAGTGTTAAACGTTGTATACTATTCTAGATACTAGCAACAGCAATAATAATAAACAGTTACAATATTGGTAGTCTGGCCCTCTCAGATCCCTAAGTACAGGCCTACAGCAAATGAAATATATTTCTATAAAAGTGCCTTCGATTGGTTGTTAAATTGGTTTTAAATGCTACTTTTCAAAAGTGGATTCTTCTAGCCTGGAATTCACAAGATGAGCGGGGAGGGGTTCACCAGAAAACATAGGAAGAAGCAATTCCTTCAGTGTTAGAAAAACTGAGCGCCCTCTCATCAACTGCCTGTCTTTCTGAGAAATTGGTGCTGACCACAATGTCCCTGGGTGCCTTTTCTTAGCTGTACAATGAAGGTAACAAGCTAGGTGATCTCTCCAAGCATACAATTTTCTTGCCTTCAGTCTTATTCATCTTTGGTATGTTCTCTTTCCTTTTATTATTATTATCTTTTTGAGAGACAGAGTCTTACTCTGTCACCCAGGCTGAAGTGCAGTGGCATGATCTCAACTACTGCAACCTCTACCTCCCAGGTTCAAGCAATTCTCCTGCCTCAGCCTCCTGAATAGCTGGTGCATGCGCCATTACGCCCAGCTTATTTTTGTATTTTCAGTGCAGACGTGGTTTCACCGTGTTGGCCAGGCTGGTCTCAAACTGCTGACCCCAAGTGATCTGCCCGCCTCAACCTCCCAAAGTGCTGGGATTACAGGCGTGAGCCACCGCACCCGGCCATGTTCTCTTTTTCCTGAGGGACTATTTCAAATTCATATAGAAGTCTGAAAAGACTCGTTAGCCACAGTCCCAAACACAAATCTTGTCAGTTATGATCAGTATTTCATCCACAGCCAAACCCAGTCCAACTGATCACAGCATCACAGTTAATACTCACAGCGTCCTTGGAGAAATGACCATTGTCCACAGTGTCCATTGGTAAACCAGTGGCTTCTCAAGCCTTGCCCTAGGGTCTTGATTGAATCAGTTATCTTTTTCAGAAAGTCTCTTCATTTTGGAATTAGGCAATATTACCAGATGGAGATCCTTATGTTGCTGTTAATGTCTTTTCTCTGACTTCTCCTAAAACTGTTCCCTCCCCTTAATGGACCTTTGGTAAGTTAGTAATTATCCTTCTACCCATAAAGAAGAAAAGCACTTACCTTCACCATTAAACCAGTATTTTAAGCCCTAGACTATAAGGCTAACTTGGAAAAGGAGGGAGTTTTCTGTCCCTTCTTCCCTTTCAAATACTTTTGCAGGGTTTTACAGGGATAAATAATGAGCCACCTGGCAGTCAGACAGCACCAGGTTTGGCCCCACTTTCTCAGAAAGCCTCGGTTTGGCTTTGCCGCTTAATTTTTAACTTCATTTTCAAGTTCTCACTGTTAGAGTATCTCAAAAGATGTCATTGCGTGTTTCTGCTTTGAACTGTGCATACAACCATTCAGTCAACAAGCCTTTTTTTTCTGAAAGCAAGGGGGCATGGTGTGGAAGAAAGGGCAGGGCTCCTGAAATCAGAGATGGAGTCAGACCCATATTCACTTCCTAGTGTTTTCCCTGAGTTTGGACAAGTCACTGAACCTCTTTGAATTGGCTTCCGCTTTAGTAAAGCAAGGATTGTGATACTCTACTCATGGGATTATTGAACAAATGAAATACATATGCTAATTGGTAGTAGTTCTTCAATAAATGAGGTGTTCATTCCTCTTTAGGAGTTCAGTTAAGTCAATTAGATTTTCCATACGCATTTGGTGCCCACAGCCTAATGAATGTGAACTGTGACTACCCTGGCAACTTCCCAGGAAGCTGCATTGTAGCCCTCCTTCCTGTTTCATATCATGCATGTCTTTCCTAATCCAGTTCCTGCTTGGCTCCTGACTCTTGGAATTGAGTCCTATTTGTAATTATTAATTTTGAGACTGTGGTTGCTATTGGATTTTCCTAGTGTGACGCAACCCTTATAAAATGAGGTGAGAGCCTTCCCTCTCTGGCTTTATCAACTTCAAACTTCCTTAATTGAGTTCCCCCATCCTAGAGAGTCTCAGCATACTCCCCACATAACCTGCTGGAGTAGGCTTATCCTACTCAACTCCTCAGATCTCTGTATCTAATTCTATTTTATTGCTGTTGTAGTAAATTACCGCAACTGTGGTGGCTTGAAACAACACACAATTATTTATTTATTTACAGTTCTAAAGGTCAGAAGTCCAAAATGGGTTTTGGTGAGCCAAACTCAAGGTATTGGCAAGGTTATGCCCCCTCCAGAGGCTTTAGGGGAAAATCCATTTCTTTTTCTCTTTAGCTTGTAGTGAGCACTGCATTTTTTGGCTCTTGGCCCTTCCTCCACCTTAAAGCCAGCAGTGTAACATCTTCAAGTATTTTTCTCTTATTCTGACTCTTCTGCCTCTCTCTTATAAGGACCCTTGTGATTCTTGTGATTACACTAGGTCCCATCTGCAAAATTCAGGAAAATCTGCCCATCTCAAAATTCTTAACTTATTAAACATGTAAAGTCCCTTTTGTCATATAAGGTAACATATTTACAGGTTCCAGGGATTAGGACATGGATGTCTTTGGAGGACAACATTCAGCATACCCTTTTGAGGGACAGAGGGGTAGCAGGAAGAGTCGAAACAATTCTTTCCTTTCTTTAATTAAAAATTCTGGTGATTGATTTATTATAGTTATCATTTGCCTGATAAGCCAATGAAAATAGTCATAATGGTCAGGGGCAGTGGCTCATGCCTGTAATCCCAGTACTTTGGGAGGTTGAGGCAGGAGAATCGCATAAGCCCAGGAGTTCAAGACCAGCCTGAGCAACATAGGCAGAGCCTGTCTCCACAAAAAATGCAAAAATTAGCTTGATGTTGTGGCATGCACCTATAGTCCTAGCTACTCAGGAGGCTGAGGCAGGAGGATTGCTTGAGCCCTGGAGGTCAAGGTTGCAGCGAGCTGAGATTGCGCCACTGCACTCCAGCCTAGGCAACAGAGCAAGACCCTGTCAAAAAAAAAAAAAAAAAGAACAAAGAAGAAAAGAAAGAAAAGAAATGAGAACTTTCTTGGCTTAATTTATCCAAAAGGTATGATATTTTCTTAATTTGCATCAAGGCAGAGCATGAGCCGGTACCAGTTCCGGTAGAAAAAGTAACTGAGACTAGATCCCCCAAACAGGAGTAAATATTTAATATAATCAGGAAAGAGTGGCCGAAAGTGTTCAATGCCACAAGTAAGATTCAGAGTAGATTCTTCAAACTGCATAATTTGTTTAAAAAGCATAATTTTATAGTTGGATTTTGCAAGCTCTCTGAAGGGATCTTGTCCATTTTGAGAATCACTATATTCGCAATTCTTGGCACAGTGTCTGTCCTATGGTATGTGCTATGATCCAAATGTGTGTATCCTCTCAAAACTCATGTTGAAATCCTAACCCACAAAGTGATAATATTAGAAGGAGGGGCCTTTGGGCAGTAGTTATGCCATGAGGGCAGAAACCCCATAACTAGGATTAGTGTCCTTATAAAAGAAACCCAAGGAAGTTTATTCAACCCTTCTGCCATGTTAGGATTCAGCAAAAAGATGGCTACCGGTAAACCAGTAAGCAGGTCCTCACCAGACACTAAATTTGCCAGAGCCTAATCTTAGACTTCCCACCTCCAGAACTGTAAGAAATAAATGTTTTGTTGTTTATAAGTCACCCAGTTTATGATATTTTGTTATAGCAGTCTGAACAGACTAAGACAGTATATGCTTAATAAACATTAGTTTACTGAATGAATGAATTCTTGCATTGGGTCACCACCAACAATCAAGATCTTGGTAGCTGGTTTAAATCCCTCACTCCCAATCATGATTTTCATATAACAAAGTCAACTCAGTTAAATCAACTCAATAAGGTATATACATTTAATGAAATTAAAGAAGTTATATCTGTAACATTTATAAACATCAAGAGTAATGTCCAGAGAAGAAAAGTCCAGAGATCCTTAAAAATTTAAGTCTCTCTGGCCTGACATTAACAGCTAAGGCAGGAACCGAAAACCAAACACCACATGTTCTCACTTAGGAATGGGAGCTGAACAATGAGAACACATGGACACAGGGCGGGGAACAACACTCACTGGGGCCTGTTGGGGGAGGATGGGGTGGGGGTGGAGAAGAGCATTAGGTAAAAGGGCTAATACATGCTGTACTTAATACCTAGGTGATGGATTGATAGGTACAGCAAATCACCATGGCACACGTTTACCTGTGTAACAAACCTGCACATCCTGTACATGTACCCAGGAACTTAAAAAATAGTAATGATTTTTTTAAAAACAGCTATTCCCAATCAGAGCAGTTGAATTCCATACTATTATTATTATTATTATTTCGAGATAGAGTCTCACTGTCACCTAGGCTGGAGTGGGGTGGGACAATCTCAGCTCACTGCAATCTCTGCCTTCTGGGTTCAAGTGATCCTCTCACTTCAGTCTCCTGAGTAGTTGGCATTACAGGTGTGCACCACCACGCCCGGCTAATTTTTGTATTTTTAGTAGAGATGGGGTTTCACCATTTTGGCCAGGCTGGTCTTGAATTTCTGACCTCATGTGATCCTCCTGCCTCCACTCCCAGAGTGCTAGGATTACAGGCTTGAGCCACTGCGCCCAGCCACTATACTATTTTTTTTTTTTGACAAATTTGCTGTATTCTAGACATGGCATTAGCTTCTGAGAATATTAATTTATTAAGATCTGACCCATGACATGACTTCACAGGAGTTCAGAGTTCACTGAGTGAGACCACACACAGAGACAGACAACTAGGATGAAGGGTGATAAACATGAACAATACGAATTTGCACAGGTAACTAGAAAAGAACAAATGAAGACGCCTGCCAGCTAGGAGTATCAGGGGAAGGCTTCCCAGGTGGAACAGGGCTGCGCCAGTCTTCATGCGTGGTACGAATAAGTCAGTAATATAGGGGAAGCACCTTCCAGAAAGAGCAAACCCACCAAGAGGCTTGGTGTGAGGAATAAGAAGTGTTCAACATGGGCCGGGCGTGGTGGCTCAAGCCTGTAATCCCAGCAGTTTGGGAGGCCGAGACGGGCGGATCACGAGGTCAGGAGATCGAGACCATCCTGACTAACACGGTGAAACCCCGTCTCTACTAAAAAATACAAAAAAAAACTAGCCGGGCGAGGTGGCGGGCGCCTGTAGTCCCAGCT